TAAAAAATATTAATCAAAAAGAAGGCAAGGAAAAAGGGGGAGAAAGAATAGATGGGACAAATAAACAAATAACAAGATGATATACTTAAACATAATCCACATCAACATATATTAAATATAAGTGTACAAACTCCAATTAAAAGTCCTATTTTGTCAGATGGGATGAAAAAAGTAAGATTTAACTATATCTGTTTCCTACAAAAAAAATATAAGGGCACAATCAGGTTAAAATTAGGATGGGAAGATATACTGTTAACACTAGTCAAAAGATGTGAAACTTTTATACTAAAATATAAAAAATAACACCACTAAAATAAAGAAGATCTAAATAAGTGGGAAGACATACTGGATTAAAAGAGGAATATTCAATATCATGAAATGTCAATTCTCCCCTATTTCATCAATAGATTCAATGTAAACCCAATTAAAATTGCAATCAGCTTTTTTGGGTAAAAATGTTTATCGAATTCATTTGGAAATGCAAAGATGCAGAGTAGTCAAATAGTTGTGAAAATGAACAAAGACTAATACTATCTAATTTCAAGATATTATAAAGCTACAGAAATCAAGATGGTGTTATATTGCCATGAAGACATACGAATAGATAACTGGAACCAAACAGAGACCCAAAAACAAACACACATGTATGATAAATTGATTTCCAACAAGGGCCTTTTCAATAAATGATACTAGGAGAATTTGGCTTCAATATACAAATAAATGAAATTTAATCTGTAATTTGCAGAGCATAAAAAAAAATTTACTGGGTTTCCCCTGGTGGCACAGGCGGTTGAGCGCAGCGCTGTGAAGCTGTCCACAGCCTCTGCAGCGCCGGTTCGATCCCGGCCAGCCAGCAGGCGAGGGTCCCACATGGCACGGCAGACCTCTCCTGTCTCACCTGCTGCTCCCCTCAACAGTGTATTTCTTCAGTCTGCCTGTTCTGTTCCCCGCTCTGTCTCTGGTGAATCCTCTCACCCTCCCGTGCATCTGGCCTGTACCCCAGTTCTTGTATAAATAAATAAATAAATCTTAAAAAAAATTAAAGAAAAATTTACTAAAAATGGGGGACTCCCTGGTGAAGCAGGTTAAAGTCTCTGCACTATCAAGCTATTGCCAGTCATTGCAGCATGAGTAAGAACACCCACCAGGCAGCTGACACACATGGCGCAGCAGACTTCTGTCTCTCCCACTGCTCCCCTCAGCAGTGTGTTTCGGTAGACCTATCTGTTCTGCTTGCCACTCTGTCTCTGGTGAATCCTCTCACTCCCTGCACTTCTGGTCTAGACCCAGTTCTTGTATGCATAAATAAATCTTAAAATAATTTTTAACTAAAAATGGACCACAGACCTACATCTACAGGAAAACATAAAACTTGTGCCCTTGGGCAAAAATATTTTATATATAACACCAACAAAATAGTCCATAAAAGAATGAAGTTATGGGCCTCCCCGGTGGCGCAGCGGTTGAGCGCTAGGTTGCAAAGCTGCCTGCAGCCTCTGCAGCGCTGGATCGATCGCCAGCGGCTGGGAGAGGGTCCCACGTGGCGCACAGACCTCTCCTGCCGCCCGCTGCTCCCCTCAGCAGTGTACTTCGTCAGTCTGCCTGTTCTGCTCCCTACTCTGGCTCTGGTGAATTCTCTCACCCTCCCGCGCTTCTGACTATACCCAGTGCTTATATAAATAAATAAATCTTTAAAAAAAAATGAAGTTATACACTGGACTTGATAAAAACTTCTTCTTTTCAAAGAACATTGTTAAGAGATGGAAAGACAGTCAGAGTGGGTGGGGGAAATATTTGCAAATTGTATTCATATAAGGGGCATGTATCTGGAATATATAAATAATGCTAAAACTCAATTATAAGAAAACAAACAATTGATAAAACAGGCAAAAATATTGAACAGATTCCTTCTCCCAATTTAAAAAAAAAAACAGACGGCAAAGAAACATATGAAAAGATGCTCAAAATTGCAGTCATCATTAGAGAAAAGCAAACTAAAGCCATAATGAGATACCACTACACATCCATTAGAATACTTTCAGTTAAAAACACTGACCCTATCAACTCTTTGCAAGGTTGTAGGGGAACTAGAATATTCATTGGGTGGTGGTGGTGGAAATGTAAAATGGAACAAACATTTAGAAAACCATATTCTTAAAACATTAAATAGACACTACCATATTCCACTTCTAAGTATTTATCCAAGAGAAACAAAGGCATATGTTCATAGAAAGGCTATATGAACCTTCACATTAGCTTTATTTGTAATAGGCCAAATCTGGAAACAACCCAAATGTCCATCAACAGGTGACTGAAGAATAAATGTGGTACATCCGTTTAATGGAATATTACTCAGCAATGAAAAAGAATGAAATACAGATTAATCTTAACATAATTATGTAGAGTAAAAAAAAAGCCAGATAGGAAGGTTTGTGTGTGTATGCGCGCACTCCTGTGTGTGTGTGTGTGTGTGTGTGTGTTTGTGTGTGTTACCCCATGAAGAGTTCAGAAAATGGCTTTTCTACAGTGGCAAAAAGTTTCTGGGACAAGAATGGCAATAGGAAGGGTAGAGAGATACACATCAAAGGGGCATAAGAAACTTTTGGCGTGAAGTATGTATTTATTACCTTTATTTTGGTGATAGTTTCATGGGTATACACGTGTCAAAAGGTATATTATAACTTTGAATATGTGTAGTTTAATGTACATATAAAAGGAATATTTATCATTTGGATTTTTTTTTTACATTCTCATTTTGGCAATTCATTTGTTTCATCTTAGATATATTCTGAATTATATATTTTAGTGTAATTCTAGCATTAGCTATTTTAGTTTCATCTGTGTATCATTCTCAGAAACATTAAGTTAGTTTAAATATTTAACTTGCTCAAAAGAATACAGATCCTGAGAAATTTTCCTTCTACATATTTTACTATCTACCATAGTCTATTGTCACAGAAGCAATCTAATATCATCTTTCATATAATAAGTTTACATAATTATTTCAGCAACCTAGCATTTGTGAAGTAGAAAAGTAAAATTCATTGAATACTTCAAATTACATTTTTTCATTTTTAAAGGGAAAGTTACATACTATCCTGGCACAAATCTTTTAATATAGGGTTGATTCTTTCTCCAAATATTATGAAAAAATTTGAAATGTATACAAGAGTACAGAACTGAATAATGAACCTATATGAACACTTTTCCCAGCTTCAAACATTATCAACCTTTTGGAATTCTTGTTTTATCTATTAAGTCCTCTCCCCCCTTAAATGGAATATTTAAAAGCAAATTCCAGGCATCATATAATTTCATGTCACACATATTTTGGTTCTTAAGTCTTTTTCTCATCATAAGTCAACAGCTTATTTTAAAACAGCTTCTTACAAAGTTAATTATACTTTGTTACAAGAGCATTTAATTTCTTATATTTCCCTCTACAATTTAATAGACATTTAGAAATTCCTCAGGAAGGTAGTTTTTAAAAAAAATATACAGACATACATTTTAATATTTTATTTTTTAGAAATATTTTAGATCGGTTACTATGGAATTTAAATGTCATTTGGGATCTATAATAATAGTAGCAAACAGAGGTTCATTTATTTCTTAGTTCCTTTATTTATTCTGTCATGGTTCCACCCAATGGCATGTGGCAGCCAACTTAAAGCAGTTTGGGAGGCCTTATTGATAAGTTTTTAGGAATTTTGTGAGCTGGCTGTTAAATGCAACCATTATTAAAATTTTAATTTTACATTAAAAGAATTTTTTTTAAAACATGGAACAAATATTCAAAACATCAATTTTTAATTATTTTATTATTATATCTGCTCTCAAGTTCACCATGTCTATCGTGCTTGCATGGTGGAAGCATACGTAATGATGTGCTACTGAGCACCTTTTCCTGTGCTGTGATCAGTAACGTTGTGTTGGCAGCTTGAAGTGAGTCATGGTGGGCATATTTATCCCACAGAAACAAATACTGCAAATCAGAGACATCCCTCACTCTCCTGCCTAGAAAGCTGGTTGTTAACATTGCTTTCACCCTAAGCATTAGCTGGGTGTCAGGAACTGTAGAAATAAAAAATATTTCTGGTCTTTTGGAATTTGAGCATGAAGATTCTCTTTATCTTTACAGTATTAAAAACACTTTAATAGAGGGCACTATAAAGACAAATATGAACAGGTCCTTAAGAAAACAAAACTTACCTGGTATGTATTAAGTTTTTAATAAGTCTTTAAAATCCTTTAACATAGGATCCAAAAGCTTTAAAATATTAACAAAGAAAAACATTATGCCGAAACTAAGAAAATAAAAGGAATACTAGTGAGATGGTATCTCTGCTTATAATTATTACTTAAATTTCAAAAGTACAGAAAAATGTAATTAGATGTTAACGTAACAAGAGAAACTACTATGTAAAATGTAGATATGCTCTTTAAATGACATAAGCTAAGGAAAAGAATATGAATCTGATCCTTACTAAATACATATAATTTGGAAACTCTCATATACCTCAAAATGTGAAAGTGTGTTTAGTAAATAGGTGGTTTTTTAAATAAAAGTGAAAAAGCAAATCTTTTAAAAAATGAAGTTTTAGTTAGAAACTTAAAATGCCACCAAAATTTGCTAAACTTGTTTGGCCAGTTGATATTCTCAGAAATCAAAGTTTTCTCTGTCTAGTCTTCATTTATATTTAGTCTGGGCATTTAATCTCTCTTTTGATCTCAGTTTTGCCATACACTATAAGTTGTTTTGTAAGGATCCAACATCAGGTTATTAGTTTCATAAGTTAAAAGACCACTTTGTATTAAAAAACAACTTATTATAAAACTGCTCAGAATATAATTTTGTAATGCAATGTTATTTCAGTGAAAATTAAACAAATAATTGAAACATAAAAATGAGCTGCTTATAAAAATACATAAATGAGAACAAAGAATTAAAATGAACACTGTGATTCTTTATATGTGTTTTTTTTGCTTACGTTATTTACCTCTTGGGAAAGCTGTGTTACTTGGTCCTTTTGATGTTCCAGGTCTTTTAAAACCAATGAGTTTTGTTTTTCTAACTGGAGCACTCTTCTCGCCAAGTGGACACTAGGGCAAATGAAGTAAGAAAATACTTACAAAAGAGGAATGCTGGGGGGCCTCCCTGGTGGTGCAGCGGTTAAAGTCTGAGCGCTATTAAGCTATCACCAGCTACTCCAGCATAAGTGTGATTCCCTGGCCAGGGAGCTAACCCACCTGAGGCAGCAGACCTCTCCTGTCTCACTTGCTGCTCCCCTCAGCAGTGTATTTCAGTAGATCTGCCTGTTCTGCTTTCCATTCTGTTTCTGGTGAAACCTCTCACCTCCTGCACCTCTTGCCTACAACCCAGTTCTTCTATGCATGAATAAATAAAACAAATCTTTAAAAAAAAAAAAAGAGGAATGTGATCTAAAATATTCAAAATGTGTTTCTGTGCTTGAAAATTGACTTACCATTTTCTAATGATATTTAAATATTAACAGAAAAAACATGGAATCAAATAATATTTTCAGGTGTCAACAGCAGTAGATCAATATTCTAACAACTTGGAATTTTGATAGTAACATTAAAATCTCTGTAATAACATAACTGTGATATATTGATTGCTGCAGTAATGGTTTCTAGCTTCTGCTATAAAAATGGAGAGTTACATTATGAGACTTGCTTGAAGAGACCACAAGATAGCAATTTACAGCTTTTCTTCATTTTTATAAAAATTTCCCATTTACAAACAAATCAGGCAATTAGTTGAAACAGTAAGCTTGCACTTTGAAAAGGATCAGTGTTTACTCAGACAACATAATGCACTTTCTAATACACAATATAACTGAATAGATTTCTGCTGAAAGTGGAGATGGAAAAGAAGTGAAAAGCGGAGAATGTCTATATTCAAGGCAAAGACTTTGTACTAAAGAAAGCAGTAAAAGATCACATTTGTGATCATCTTGCAGTGTAATCTTTAGTATTTAAAATCACATTAAATGTGAAATATCCAATTCCATAGATTAAAAATATAGTCCAGCTACAAAATAATTCCACCTAACTACTGCGGGGAAAAAGCACACTAGTGATGTTGAGATGACATGTTAGTCCAAAGACCTGCTCTGTAAATCCAAAAACTGAAAAATTTTATATTTATGATCTTTTCATGTTCTATATGAGTTAACCTATTCTGTGAATTGTGAAATCCAGGCAATTTGAGACAACAGGAAATTTCACAATGTCAAGATGTAAAATATTTCATTTAAGGGACCTCCCTGGTGGAGCAGCAGGTTGAGCACAGCGCTGTGAAGCTGTGTGTAGCCTCTGCAGCGCAGGTTCGATTCCCGGCCAGCCAGGGAGATACCCACATGGCACGGCAGACCACTCCTGCCTTGCCCACTGCTCCCCTCAGCAGTGTATTTCAGTCCGTCTGCCTGTTCTGCTCCCCGCTCTGTCTCTGGGGAATCCTCTCACCCTCCCACGCCTCTGGCCTGTATCCCAGCTATTGTATAAATAAAAATAAATCTTTAAAAAATTTCATTTAAAATAAAATTATAGGTAAGAAACAATACCATGGTATTTTTACTATTTCCTAATTTCAGAAAAATGAATGCAGTCAAAAATGAGAAAAACATAGCAAAAAAACCCCACTAATGTTATTTATGATGCATAATGGTGATGATGTGGAAGACAGTGTGACTTCACTGGTTTCTAACTGATCCACTGATCATGTTTAAAAATTCACTTCTAAGTCAATTGTGAGGACAGCAGGATACATCTCATTATAGATCTACAAATGGTAGTAAGGCTCTCAGGTTGCCTTCAATTGCTCTATTTAGTCCAAGATATTGCTGGGGGGGAAAAAGGAAAAAAAGAAAGAGAACTAAGGAACAAAAGTTAAAAATGTTACAAAATTTTAAAGGAAATGATATACTTAAGCATGTAAAACACACAGAAAATATGAAATATAATTTTCCCTGTTATTGTATCATGCAATTAAACAAAGATGATGCAATTTTTTTTCCTAGACCATGCATATCAAAAACTGCAGAAACCAGGATAGATATGAAGAAACACATTCATTGACTCATTCAACAAGATATTCATGAACTTTTTTGATCAAGCATTCATTGAATGTTTAATATACTTAGGTAATGGGAATACACAATTTCTTTTTTTTTTCAAAGATTTATTTATTTATTTATACAAGAACTGGGGTACAGGCCAGATCCACGGGAGGGTGAGAGGATTCACCAGAGCCAGAGCAGGGAACAGAACAGGCAGACTGACGAAATACACTGCTGAGGGGAGCAGCGGACGAGGCAGAAGAGGTCTGCCCTACCATGTGGGACCCTCGCCGGCAGCCGGGGATTGAACCGGCGCTGCAGAGGCTGCAGACAGCTTCATAGCACTGAGCTCAACCACCTGCACCACCAGGGGAGGCCCTGGGAATACACAATTTCTATCTGCAGGATCTAGTAGTCTACAGGAAGGTAAGCAAATAAATAAATTACTGTAGTATGTTAAATGCTATGAGAGGGCACAAGAGGAATGAAAACTAATACTGACTAATCTGCTGAAGAAGCAGAAAAACAGCATTCTGGGAAGAGAGAAAAACACAGGTAAAGAATGATCAGGGAAGGGGGTAATCAGCAGTATGGCATGAACTGATAAAACACATGATGCATGGTGAGGGTTAAAGCTAGAGAGGACGGGCTGTGATAGATGATGAAAGGTATTATATGACAGGCAGAGTTTGATTTTATCATTAAGTTGGTTAGGCATGACATGATCAGAGGTGCACTTGAGAGAATCTTTTAACAAAAATGTGGAGGATAACTTGGAGAAGAAACCTCAAGCCAATTAGAAGGTAAAGGTCATGATCTATACCAGTGTTCTCCAAATGTAATTATATGCAAAATAATCCAGTAAAGCATGGGAAATTTTATTTACATTTATTTTAATATTAATTTTAAGTGTTGATTTTCAGGGTAGATTTTATAGTATAGTGTATATAATATTCATATGCATAGATTCATATAATCTATAAGTAAATCTAATTATGTACACATATGTTGGTGAATATATGCTCAACTGTGTGCCCAACAGACATTCATATCAAAAAGTTTGGAGACTACTGGTATAGGACTATTTTGTTTATGAAATAAAATGCAAACCACACATGTAATTAATATTTCTCTAATAGCTACATTAAAAAGAGTATAAAGCCTCACATGATGTAAAAATATCAACTCAAAGTAGATCTAAGCCCTAAATATAAAAACTAAAACTATAAATTCTTATAAGAAAACATACAGGTATATCTTATTTTTACATGTGATATTACTTTATTCTTTATAATCAATATTTTTTTTAAAAACATCTTTGTCTATTTTTTCGCAGCCTAGGATTTCTCCCCTCAGATGCGGGCACCATAAATCTTCATGAACTTGGACATGGCAAAGGACTCTTAGATACAGCACCCAAAACATAAGCAATACAAGAATAATTAGATAAATCTGATTGCATCAAAAATTAAAAAACCTGTACTTCAAAAATGCCTTCAAGAAAATGAAAAGATAATTCACAGAATAAGAGAAAAAATTTAAAAATATGTATATGATAAAGGATTTATTTTTAGAAAATACAACAAATTCTCAGAGCTCAACAATTAAAAGACACCCCGAACTGAGCTCTGACAGCAGTGCCTTGCCTAAGGAAAGCTTAAATAATCGCACACAAACATCTCTGCATTACAATCTTAGTACTGTGATTCCCTGAGCAAGTATAATGATAGGGTCAAAACATATAGGCATTAAACATTTTTAGACATTCCTCTGGAAAGGTTATACAAATTTAAATTCTCATGGAATATAGTGAAAGTTCTCTAAGGATCAGAATTTTCATATATTGTTTTTATATATTTAAGTATCTTGAATCAACTGGTACAAAGGAGGTGCTCAGTAGTAAACTTTTGAATAAATGAACTTCATATAAGACTTCCTGTTTCTTTATATCACGACAACAATGGGCATCATTAATCTTTAAAAACTTTGCAAACCTTTCAGATAAACAACAGAAACTTATTTTGAAACAAATTTCTTTAATCGTGAGGGTAAATATTTCATGTTTTCAGACATTTGTATTTCTTATATATGTAAGAATGCTTTTTCCCCAGCCACTTCAAATCTGTACATAGGTAATCCTATTCTACATCCAAATTATTTGACAATATCAAGGCATTCTATAATCTTACCTGAACCAACCTTATTTTCCATTAATAAATAAGTAGTAAATAAATAATAATAATTGAACTCTAATGTTCCATAACATGTTTTGTGTAGTTCCTCCATAGTACCTCTGTTGGTCCTCCAGTCTGAAGAAGACAGGTTATTTCATTGTTCAACAGCCTAACTTTTACTTAAAGGCTTCCTTCAGGTTTTACTTCCTCCATTATAACCATTTCAGCCTTCACTGACATTTAATTCCCTGACAGTTTAGCATACAGTGCAACACTAAGTAATTTTAGGTGTTTCCTGATATTCATTCACATGGTTTAATCTATTCTCCTACAAGTGAGGCAACTTACATGAGAGTGATCTATCCTTTGTGGTGTACGTTGAACAGAGTAGGCACTGAATAAATCCTTCCTGATTAATTTTGTTGTAAGTGAATCTGATTCAAATGAATACAGTACTAGCAACCATATTCCAAGGTTGTGGAATCTCAGCATTAAGTACAACTAATTTTCAGCATTCTTGCATTGAACCAGTAGTAAAAACAGTGCATAAAATAAGTAATGGAGGAAGGAAAGCGTTATGACTGATAATTTACCTCTTCCAAAATTCAATCTCCTAAACCTTTAAATATGGCATACTGCTGTGGTGAGTGAACCTGCTCAGAAATCTGGGACATTAGTGGGAAGAAAGGGTGGGAGTTTAGTTTAACTAAAATTCAAAGCAAGACAAAAGAAGAAATACTCAACTACAACTGAATTTATGTCCCCTTCACTATAATGCACACACAATGAAATAAGTCTTTACTAAATTCTTTATGAAGAGTAACTAAGGGTAAAGTCAGGAAAAAAT